CGTCAGCGACGCGCTTTAATCGGGCGCGCTTTAGTGGACCGCGGTTTTGTCGTGCCACGGGCATATCAGGTAAGTACCAATGCCCTTTCTCATAAAAAATCACTTACCTATTTATTGAATATTATATAACTTGGAAAATGCTTAAGAACATGAATAAGCAAAATTAGACATAATTATATATATTTTTATCGTAGGTGCTCTAAGCGAAAAACAAGAAGCTCTAATTACTAAAAGTCCGGCATCAAACACTAGAAGACCAGAAGATCGGAATCTAGGTCCTATGTTGCCTGTCACAAAAGAAATTCTGTGTGACTTCTATCAGCCTTTCAACAAAAAACTTGCCGAAGTTCTTTCTGATGAAGCTTTTTTATGGAAAAAGTCCTGATTCGACCATTTGAGAGCCACCACTGCAGTGCTTGGAGAGAGAAATATATATTTTAGAAAACTCTTGTTTTTCAAATGTAAATAATTGCCATTGTAAAGTTAGTGAAATCTGCATTTTCATGTTTCTCTCACTTGCTATTATACAATATTCTTTTCCACACTGGAGCCCTTCAAGTGTGTTAGGGCTATAATCCCCAGAACTTAAGTCAGGGTGGAACTCAGTATTAAGGAATGCTGGAATATGAACTGGATTTCCAAAGACGAATATAATGATTTTTGCAATTTTTTTCTCAACAAAAGAAGAGCGCACAGATACGTTTGGTTGAAGCAATCTTAAGTCCTCTGGTTTTAAAATAACTGTATTATATTACAGAAATGAGCACTAGATACCTAAAACGCACATTCGTTCACACTTTTAAGTATACCTTGCAATATTTGGAACCTGCTTAAGACGGCTTTTTAACCATTAAAAGTTAATTAATTTTAACCTAGTGGTTTGATTTTTCTTTGACACACTATATTTACTTTAAATGAGGATGACTCCAAAATTCCCAAATTCCCAAAGAATATTAGACAACAATAAATACAGTAACAATTAAATTTCCTTCATTACGATGTTCCCATGGTATCTAGGACAACTGTCTCATTCATAGGTAAAATTGTATTTATTGTATTTGTATTTATTTGTCTTGTGTGCTGCCCACTCCCGAAGGACTCCGGGCGGCTCACAATAGACAAGGGAAGGGGGAAGACTAGACAAAGACAACACTTTAAAAANGGGTGTTGGGGGAGAGGACTGCCTCACCAGCCATAAACCTCACCGCACGTCACTGAATAGAAGAGAGGGCAAAATGCAAGTGAATTGAAAAGTCTGTGAAAAAATGCAAAGGGGAAAGGGGGAGTTAACTTTTCAGCTCCTACCAAGCCCTGCTGCTTGCTTGGTTGCTGTCTCTGCTGGGGGCAGGTATCAAGAGAGTAATTGGAGTAATTAGCTCCCAGTGATTTCTCACAGGTGAAATCCTCTGAGGGAGCAAGCTGGTAATTACTCTAGAATGATTATCCACGGCTGTGAACTTTGTGCCTGAGGCTTTTTAAGTTCATCTGTTTGCTACAGCGGCAGAACAGCTGCTATAAAATTGACATCTGGATTCCTTAGGGAAACCTCCCTCCATTTTTCCCACTGCATTTTTTATTGGTAAAAGTACAGAAGTAAAAAATATGAGAGGTTGAGTAACCTGAACTTTTTCTACTAATTGCATCCATATTAGCCTCGAACCTTTGTTTTTTTAAGTCATTCATGGGTTACTGTTCAAAGACTTGATAGCATATATAATTTTAAGGTTGGAAGCATAAGCATCCTTGGGAAAATGCCTTTGCTGGGCTGACTTCCAGAATTCTTTGTCTTCCCCAGAAAGCAGATATATTGCAAGCAGTAGCTCTGCCTTTTGGGATTAATTCTTGGTACAGACTTAGGTTATCCTATAAATTATATAAGAATTGAGGTTGCTAAGGTCACAGTACTCTTTCCTTCAGTAGCTATAGTTCAACCATCTGATGAGTGTCATCAAAATAATTCTGTGTTAGGGATTTATGGCCTGATCTGCTCACTTGTCTACTAAACAAAACTTCAGCTTTTGTGAGGATAGATCATTGTTACACTTCTGATAGTATTTGCCAAAAAGTATGGATCCCATTTCATGCTAAAATGGTCAACAGATAGCTTTGTTGTATGTTCAGCATCTACACCTAAAAAGTATTGAAATTCTTCTTGCTGCATTGCAGAATCATACAGTTGAGGAAGTTACGAGAGAGACAGCTTTCCATTGAGTACTTTGGTCACTTCAAGCAGGTGAAACATGTAACTCATGATACATTTATAAAGTTAGTAAATTAAGTGTCATTGAGTCAAGCTCAGCTCTTGGTAACTGCCTGAACAAACACTTTTTAAATCTCCCATTCCCTTTTTAAAGTGCTGTGATTGAAAAGAACATGGCGACGGTATAGCTAAGACTATCATTTATTCCTCCTTCTGCAGATACATCTTCAATGCCATCTCTTCAAGTTTCTGACAAACTTGGGGATTCTGCCAGGCTCCAGAAATGTAGAGTTATTGCTGCTGGCTTAATAGCAGTAGAACCACTGGAGCCATTGTCGCAGGTTGGCTATACCCATGTCTCTGGGGCTTTTTGCTGGATTGTGGGTTGCACAGCCTGCATCTTCTGCTACAAGCCACATTAGTCTTGAGTGCACCTGGTAGAGTTTTGTCATTAATGTTGAACTTCACTAAACTCTTACAGTGCCTGCCTGAGTTGGCTTTCCCATCATTGCTCTTGTTATGTCCCGGATGCTATTCAAAGAGTTTAGAGGAAAAACTGCCTGATAGATCAAGAGACAATATATAGTTTCCCAAAGGAAAATGAGGATTAAGAATGGAAAGTTAGAGGTGGAAGGATTCCTACTGACAGGGAAGTCCTTCTGTTGAAACAGTAAGGAAAAAAAAGGACAACTGCATGTACAATGGAGTTGATCATCTTCTCCATTAGAGCACTTGGCCTGAGTAAGCAACCCTTCTCCTTTCTTCAGGCTGGCAGCTGCGAAGATATAGAGCAGTATATGGCAGCCCTATGAAGCAGTAAACATCTTGGAATCTTATGTCAAGAAAAATCCATGTGTTGCCATCAAATTTCAGAAATGGTATAAGGGAGTTTGGATTTGAGAAGAAATAAAACAACACATACTTCCTCTGAAAATACTGAAATGAAAAAGGATGTAAGGATGGCTTAAGTTCCAGTCAATTCTGTGCAGAAAACAATTGCTTGGATGCCAAATTCTTAAATTTTGAAGAACTTGCACAATACTCTTGTGGACTCAAATGGGATCGGGCCATTATTGTTTCAGCATATTGTGAGAACCCAGCTGTTGTCTCACAACATTTCCTAGCATCACCCAGCCATCACCAAAGCAACATGAAGCATGTCCTCATTACTAGTAGTTGGACAACTTTAGATGATGCTATAAATTGCTAGAGGAAAATAAACTTAGCATGCTGTTTGATTAAACAGCCATTTGTTTGGGCATAACACTTGTTTTGCTAACCTACATTTAAGAGTTAGTGACAAAGTCCTGTGTGAATCAAGTCAAAAGAGTCTTATGGGTAGTTCTCACTCATTTCATGATGTATGTTTCATTTGGATTTATGAATTAATAATGTTAGGACTTTTTTGTTGCATCTATCCCTTTAGGCTTGAATGATAGGGAACAAGAGCAAAAATAAACATATATTATGTTCCATACCATGTTTGTGAAATAACTTACTATAATATGCTTTCCTTTATGTGAGTTGAGGTATTGTAACCCTAGATATATCAAAAGGATTGTGCAAATCCTTAGAGCCTTATTCGGCTTAACTATTTCAAGTGCAAAATGGAAATATGAAAACATAATGGCATGTTTGCCACGTAGTCTCCCTCTCCATGGCCTGGTATTCAGAGAATGTTACAAGAAACCCCATGAGGGATAATTACAGAATATCTTGGTTGAAGGCAGAGTATGTGTTTGTGTGTGCATAGAACGACCAAGCATCAAAAGATTTATTGTATATTGTCCCATGCAAGCCCACAGAATTACTTATAGCTCCTGCCAATGCTTTTTTCATAGCTTAGGATTATTTATTTCACTGGTATATTCTCNATTAATAGATACCACTTTGGTGGGAAGGTAACAGTGTACCATGCACCTTTGGTGTATAGCCATGTTGGCCAAATGAACACAGAAATTGTCTTAGGATAACACTGGCTCCCTTGGCTAAAAAATGGAAATGAATACAGTGCCCTAGAATTGGATATGACTGACAGGAAAACTTTTGCCTTTTAGTAATTACTTAGAATTCTGCCACCAAGTTCTTGTAATGACATCAACAGCTGAACAAATATTCCACATGTTCTATTCAAGTATCTATACATATGAATCAATTATCCACTATAATGGAAAACGTTCACTATAAAGGTAAGTGAATAAAGAAATTCTGCCACAGCAACAGACACATTTAATTTCCAGCATTCAAAAAGCCCCATATATCAGATAGCTCTCTAAAGGAAAACAACATGGCAACCACTCTGACTTTTTTTTCTCCTTAAATAAGCATCATTTTCAAATCAAATTCAATGTGATGACTCTAGGGTGCCAGATCTGGGCTTCAATAATTCAGATAACCAAGAGTTAAACGCAAAAAGATTCAGAAACTCTTTTCTGCTAATTCTAAGTCACTTGGTTTGGTTTGGTTTTTAGCCCAGATCTGATCATCATGTGGCAGGAAAAATATTCACAACAGCTCTACCAAAAAACAAAGAGATGATACAATACCTCTTCTCCATTTATTCCCTATCCATACAATTTATTTCTTTGACCTTACATTTTCTTTGGTTGTCAAACGCCTTGCTACCAATAACCCTATATGAGAGCCCATCTTTTCATTTTTGCATTAATGCACAAGCAGAAACTTGTTCAAATGAAAAAAAAATCCAACAGAATCTTCAGTGAAATGGCTCTTGCCTTTCAAAATGAACAGCCCTGTCATTATTCATCATTGGAAAGTTGCATTACAATCAAATGGAGTTTCACAGAACTCTCAATTCATTATTAGATTGGATTACTTGTTTTGGGGTTCACTGGAGAGTCAACCATGAGAAGCAGTCCTCTGAATATTTTATAGTTATAGAATGCTATTACAATTGAGAAATAAAGTTAAATGCTATTATGGAAACTTTACCTTCCTGGCTCTTGCAAGCTAAACTGCCAGGTAAGATTTCAAATGACACTATTCACATTATATGATGGGAAGTCATAAGCGACCTTGAGTGTGCAATAATTCTTCCATGCACAGTTAGCTACATGAAACTAAGCAGAGCTCTTCCACTGCCAAAGCACTTATGTTCCTAATGCACAGCCAAGTGCAACCAAATATAGCCCAAGCACAGTTGTCTGACCAGACGCCAATGCCTGACAGTGGTTAACTTTATCATTGTTTATTTGTTTGTTTTCCCAAAAGAAGATAAAAGTCTTTTTGTTAGAAGGAGGGTTCTTAGTTTTATGGTCAATCCTTAAGAAAGCATTTCAAAATGACTAAGATCATTTCACTTAGCAGCTGATCATAAATAAACCCTGTTTTAGCAAGGCGATGTTTGCATAGGAACTCCTGGATGATATAAATTCTACATCTAATCCAATCAATAGCAGGCCTGGTTTTTTAGCATTAAAAAATTGACCAGTCTATGACTTATGCCAGGTAAAGAACATTTTCATTTAAGAATGAAAAAATGATTATATCTTGCATACACTTCTGTTTCTAGACAACAGTTTTTATGGGATAAGTTTGGTTTTCACGTGATTTCAACTAAGCTAATTTTTTACTTTCTTAAAGTAAAAAATATATAACTTTAATTAAGTTTGTCTCCAGTGTACAGGTGTCAATCTCATGAATGGTAAGATTGTTTTAACTTCATATTACTATTTCTAACTATCTCTGATCAGCTAACTGAACAGGGACCCTATAGTGGCATATCTTGACTGAATCATTT